GCCGTGTATTGTCAGCAGCAAGTGCACCTTTCTAGCTGCTCCTGCTGCTGCTCCTCCTGCTGCTGCTGCTGCTGCTGCTGTTGCTGTTGCTGTTGTTGCGCCTTTGTCCGGTGCTGCTGCTGCTGATGGTGATGATGCTAGGGGTGATGCTGCTGCTGCTGCTGCTGCTGCTGCTGCTGCTGCTGCTGCTGCAGGGGGGTGAGAGGGTTCTATAGTAAACTCCTCTAGGAATGCTGTATCTGCTGCTGCTCTAGCTTCGGTTTCTGCTGTTGCTGCTGCTGCTTCAGCTGCTGCATCTGCTGCTGCAGTTGGATCTATAACAGCAGCAGCAAGTGCTGCTGCTTGCTGCTGCGTCAGCTGCAGCTCCTCTGCTTTGTTTTCTAGTATAGAAAGAGGAAACGCAGAGAACCCATATTGTGTTCCTGCTTTTGCTGTTGTTGCTGCTCTCCTGCTGCTGCTGCTGCTGCTGCTGCTGCTGCTGCTGCTGTTTTTTTCAGGTGTATATGCAGCTCCTGCTTTTGTTTCTTTTTCTTCTTCTTCTTCTCCCGGGATAAAACGATTCAGAGCCAGCAGCGGCATCACCTGTATTAGGCCATAGTGTACTTCTGCAGCAAACAACACACACACTCATTGCTGCTGCTGCTGCTGCTGCTGCTGCTGCTGCTGCTGCTGCTGGTAGTGGTAGTGGTGCTGGTGGTGTTGCTGGTGCTGGTGCTGGTGCTGCAGCCGCTGCTGCTGCTAGTGGTGCTGGTGGTGGTGCTGTTGCTGCTGCTGCGGTTGATGCTGCGGGTGCTGTCGCTACTACTAGTGTGGTGCTGCTGCTGTTGCTGCTGCTGCTGCTGCTGCTGCTGCTGCTGCTGCTATACGGTAGAGAGATGCAGCAGCAGTGAAAAAAGAGAAATAAAAATAAAAATAAAAAACAGAAAATAAAAACATTAAGATGGCAAAGAAAAGAAGAGAAAGACAAAAACAAAAACAAAAGGAGACAAAGACAAAGAGAAGGAAAGAGATAAAGAAAGAGACAAAGACAAAGACAAAGACAAAGACAAAGACAGAGATGAAGACAAAGACAAAGACAAATACAAAGACAAAGACACAGACAAAGACACAGACAAAGACACAGACACAGACAAAGACACAGACAAAGACACAGAGAAAGACAGATATGAAGACAAAGACAAAGACAAAGACAGAGACAGAGATGAAGACAAAGACACAGACACAGAAAGAGACAGAGAAAGAAACGACGTAAGGAAACATGTAAGGAGACAAAGGAGAGATATAAAGAGACAGAGAAGGAGACAGACAAGGAGACAGAGAAGGAGACAGACAAGGAGACAGAGAAGGAGACAGGATAGAGAAAAGGAGACAAAAAGGAGACAGAAGAGGAGACAGAGAAAGAGACAGAAGAGGAGACAGAGAAAGAGACAGAGAAGGAGACAGACAAGAAGACAGAGAGGAGACAAAAAAGGAGACAGAAGAGGAGACAGAGGAGACAGAGAAGGAGACAGACAAGGAGNCAGAGAGGAGACAAAAAAGGAGACAGAAGAGGAGACAGAGGAGACAGAGAAGGAGACAGACAAGGAGACAAAAAAGGAGACAAAAAAGGAGACAGGAGACAGAGAAAGAGACAGAAGAGGAGACAGAGAAAGAGACAGAAGAGGAGACAAAAAAGGAGACAAAAAAGGAGACAGAAAAGGAGACAGAGAAAGAGACAGAGACGGAGACAGAGACGGACTCTCCATGGCTACTGCAACACCGAAGCAGGCGGGGGGATAGCTGCTGCTGGGAAAAATTTTAGTTTTATGGAGAGGGAAGATAGAGGTCAAGACAATGAGGACAAATGCTGCTGCTGCTGCTGCAGCAAAAGCAGCAACTGCTGCTGCTCTTGCTGCCCCTCTCCATCGGGGGGATATCCAGCTGCTGCTCATCCTGTCTTATATTCAATTACACTGCTGCTGCTGCTGCTGCTGCTGCTGCTGCTGCTGCTGCTGTTGCTGCTGCTGCTGCTGCTGCTGATGCAGCAGCTGCAGTTGCTGCTGCCGCAGCAACTGCTGCGGCAACTGCTGCTGTTGCTCCGCCCGCCGCTATTGCTGCTGCTGCTGGTGCTCCTGCTCCTGGTGCTGCTGCTGCTGCTGCTGCTGCTGCTGCTGCTGCTGCTGCAGCAGATAGCAGGAACGAGCTGGCTCTTCTTTGGTCCCCCAGATGCCTCTTTACTGGCCCCCAGGATCAGCACAAAGCAAATACAGCATTTCTTCTTTTCTATGAAGTAACGAGACAAGGGCCGCTAAACCCTAAACCCTAATAAACCCTAAACCCTAATAAACCCTAATAAACCCTAAACCCTAATAAACCCTAAACCCTAAACCCTAGGACCTGAAGATGGGGAGGCAGGGGCCAGCAGATAACAGTGGTTTCTGCATCCATTGAGAGTGAAGCCGTGTATTCGGTGCTATGCAGCAGAATTCAGCAGCAGCAGCAGCAGCTGCTGCTGCTGCTGCTGCTGCTGTTGCTGCTGCTGCTCCTGCTGCGAAACAGCAGGCAGGATGCTGGCGGATGTGTTTGTTTCGTTTGTTTGTGATAAATTTCTTTTTAATAAGAAAGATATAAAGGATTGATAGAGAAGAAGGTGAGGGTAGTATGCGGCTGCTCGTGTTTGTTGCTGCTGCAGAGAGGAGGCATAAAGGGGGGCGGAACACAACCTAAATGCATATATTTTCTTCTCCTTTTCTTTTTTTTAACATTATATTATTAAATTCAATAAAAAATATAAACCTAAACACCCTAGACTTCTGCAGCAGCACTGCAGGTGGGGGCCCTCCCTAGAGCCTTGCGAGAGAGGCCCCTGGGGGCCCCTGCCTGCTGCTGCAGCAACAGAGTTAGTTGCTGAGGTTTTGTTTATGTAGTAATATATAAATATATTTAATTTATATTAAATATGTGTTGTGTTCAAGTATAAAAGGGGAAAAACCTAGAGAAAAACCCTGCGTCTCATATATATATATATGTATATGCATATATATATATATATATA